CCCAGGGTAGCACCTGCCCCTTTGTGTGGGAGGGCTGTTTCATTGTGGCTGGCAATGGATAATTAGTAACTCTTATGTGATGTATCTGATAACTGACTTACTCAGTGCTTTTTTTGACATTTTTTAATTTTTATTTTTTATATTAATTACAGGTTATTTACTTTGTATCCCAGCTGTAGCCCCTTCTCTCATTCCCTCCCAATCCCACCCTCCTTCCCTCATCACCTCCCTGCCCTTCTCTAAGTCCACTGATAGGGGAGGTCCTTGTCTCCTTCCATCTGTCCCTAGTTTTTCAGGTCTCATAACAACTGACTGCAATGTCCTCCTCTGTGGCCTAGCAAGGCTGCTCCTCCCTTGTGGAGGGAGGTCAAAGAGGCTGCCACTGAGTTCATGTCAGAGACAGTCCCTGTTTTCCTAAACCCACTTGGATGCTGAGCTGCCATGGGCTACATCTGAGCAGGGGTTCTAGGTTATATCCATGTAAGATCCTTGGCTGCATCAGTCTAGGAGTGATATAGCTGGATCTTGAGGTAGCACTGTTCTTAATCGTCTGAGAAAGCACCAGATTGATTTCCAAAGTGGCTGTACAAGTTTACATTCCCACCATCAATGGAGGAGGGTCCCACTTTTTCCACAACCTCTCCAGCATGTGTTATCTCTTGAATTTTTGATCTTAGTCATTCTGATGGGTATAAGGTGAAATCTCAGGGTCGTTTTGATTTGCATTTCCCTGATGGCTAAGGACGTTGAGCATTTCTTTAAGTGTTTCTCTGCCATTTCTCTGCATTCCTCTACAGAGAATTCTCTGTTTAGCTCTGTACCACATTTTTTTTAATTTGATTGCTTGATTTGTTGCTTTTTAACTTCTTTAGTTTTTTTATATATTCTGGATATTAGCCCTCTGTCAGATATAGGGTTGGTGAAGATCCTTTCCCAGTCTTTAGGCAGTCATTTTGTTCTGACAACAGTGTCTTTTGCTTTACAGAAGCTTTTCAGTTTCATGAGGTCCCATTTTTTGATTGTTGTTCTTAGAGCCTGTGCTGTTGGTGTTCTGTTCAGAAGGTGGTCTCCTGTGCCCATAAGTTGAAGGCTCTTATACACTTTCCCATCTAGCAGATTAGTGAATCTGGTTTTATGTTGAGGTCTTTGATCCACTTAGAGTTTTGTGCAGGATGATAAGTATGGATCTATTTGCATTTTCTACATGTAGACATCCAGTTAGACCAGCACCATTTGTTGAAGATGCTATCTTTTTTCCATTGTATGGTTTTGGCTCCGATGTCAAAAATCAGGTATGCATGGTTGTTTAGAAGCTTGAAATGTTTTTACCATGCCTTTGACCAGCAAGTGTCTGTCAAGTACCATAATAATCTAAGAAAATCCCATTTCCAGGAAAGACTTCATAGATTAAGATATGACAGTTTTGGAGAGTTTCGTTAAAAGATTCTAAAATAAAAACACACCCAAAATTATTTAGGGAGACAGTTATACAATGGTATCCAGCTAATAGCCCTTAATGAAAGAGGTTACAGTGGGACTGGGAGTCAAACAAAGACATTATTTTCCATCCTTACCATCATAACTTCGGGTTGTTTCTCACTGCTGTCTATATTTTTTTCATTCTTATATCAGAGAGCATCCAAATAGAAAACATAAATAACATATCCAGCCTGTGATTCTTAAGGGGCCAATAAAACACATGAGTATTCTACTTGATGTAAACAGTGACCCCAATTTATTAGCAATTAATATAGCCTTTTCATGAGCCTAGTGTCTGTTGGGAAAACAAAATGTTTCCCCAGTGACATAACCTTGTGCTTTTTTAGCCTTCTTCCCCCTCTATGCTGTTTAGCATCACATTTGCACTATGAAGTTTCTGGGGCATCATAGATACAATCCATAGGCTCTATAACACACTTGCCAGCTATAAATTACTTCCAGTTTTGATGCAGTTCATATCAGTGATAATTCCCTCTCAGGTTATGGAAAGCGGTCAATTGCAGAGATAATCCACAGCCCTCAGAACTCACATTGAAAGTTAGAATCACTGTACACCATCCATGTCTCATTAGCAGTCTTTGCACAGCCTTCTGATGTGATGGTTTCCTGTTTCTGTACACACAGGGAACATGCAAACCATTCCACACATAACAAAGATTTCCCTGTATGGAAATTTTGTATGGTCTAGAAGATCTATGGGTTGTCATTGAAGACATGAGAGCTGATTTTCACTTCATTTCACTTCCTGGGATGCTTTATAACAGCCCACACTTGAGTGTTCTCTGCAAAGTTCAGAGTGTTGTGGTTCTAATTAATGCTCACCAAGACATGGGTGGCAGTAACTGAGTCTCTTCCTCCTTTACCTTTGAAAAGGTCAAAGTTGTAGGCACACACCTGAGGATTCTCTGCTAACATCACAGACTTTGTGCTAATTCCAGAGGATGAAGGTGCCCTGATGAGTGCCATGGCTATGCTGGGAGCTGTGTCTGTGGCCAAGAGTCCTTTCAGTTCTGTAGTAGTGGTAAGCATATTTCCTTCTAGTAACTTGTAAAAGCAATGTGACATCATATGATAGCAGCTTGAGGACCTTCTTGTACGTAAAATCTAATGTATTTAGCTTCATGGATCTTATACATGGTGTATGCAAGAGCTGTGTACACCATTTCCACTTGATTATAACGCAAGCATATCCCTATGGGTATGAGCACTTCATAATTTTTTAAGAGTTACATCATTTACTAGATAGCTTTATTTAATGTTTTTCTTTTTTATTTTATTTTTTGTGACACTGGGGATTGAACCAAAAACCCTATACATCCTATACATGCCAGTCACATTTCTACTGCTGAACTATACCTGCAGCCATTTCTATTTATTTATTTATTTATTTATTTATCATTTATTTATTATTTATACAGTGTTCTGCCTGCATGTATGCCTGTATGCCAAAGAGGACACCAGATCTCATTATAGATGGTTGTGAGCCACCATGTGGTTGTTGAGACTTGAACACACGACCTCTGGAAGAGCAGCCAGTGCTCTTAACATCCATCTCTCCAGCCCCTACTTAACGTTTTTCAATTGTTGGGTCGTCAAGATTTTTACCAAAGATTTCATTCCTGTAATTTACACTCTTTCTTTTAGACTAATGTTTCTAAGTAGAGATGCAAGGTTTTAATGGGGGGGGGGGTGGCTTTGTTGTTGTTTTCTGTTTTTTGTTTCGTTTGGTTTTCAAGAAAGGATTTCTCTGTGTAGCCTTGGCTATCCTGAACTCTTTGTAGACAAGGGTGGCCTCAAATTCACAGTGATTCGCCTCTGCCTCTCTGCCTCTCTGCCTCTGCCTCTCTGCCTCTGCCTCTGTCTCTGCCTCTGCCTCTGCCTCTGCCTCTGCCTCTGCCTCTGCCTCTGCCTCTGCCTCTGCCTCTGACTCTGACTCTGACTCTGACTCTGGAATGTGCCACCACACCTGGCTTGAAACACAAGGTTTTAAAGAACAGTTTTAAATGCACATAGAAAAATGTCTTGCAAAATACAGCTGTTAATTTGTCTTTCTGCAGTTTTTGTGAAAATTTCTAGCTCAGTGGTTCTCAACCTGTGGGTCTTGTCAAACAACTCACAGATGTCACAGATCAGACATCTTGCATATCACATTACAATTCATAACAGTAGCAAAATTACAGTTATGAAGTAGCAATGAAAATAATTTTATGATTGGGGCTCACCACAACCTGAGGAACTGTATTAAAGGGTCATCGTATTAGGAAGGTTGAGAATCACTGTAATAGAACATTAGGAAGACTGAGAAACCACTGCTCTGGAAGCAGTATTGATAACAACGGACCTGGCTTTTAAGTCTTATCTGGAATTTATATCATGTCAATAAACTCTTCCAAAATACTTTCTTCATTGTTGAAGCCAACAGTCACTGTGAGGTGCTTAGAGCCTCTCACCCCAGCTTTGGTGTTATTTCCCAGGCATCTATTACGCTGCAAAGTGCAGCAGTAAGGATCAGGACCACCCTGTTCTGGTGGTCAGCTATGGCTTTGAGGACAGAGTATAATGGCAAAGAAATACTGGCTGGTCAAGAATAGGTATATACTGGCAAAAATCTTTATGCTTCCAATTCCAAAGGGACTTTTGTTGCTGGTAGAAGATTTATCCCAGACTATCAGTGTCTGATCAAAACATTAAGATTCTGTCCTGGTTTGCAGTTTTGTGATGGAATTCGCATCACTGCATTTCTAGTTCTGAGCCGCATGTGGGTGGGAGACACTCTGTTCTCATTCTGCAGTGGTTTTCATATCCTCTGTGAAATAACCATTAGTATCCAGGGTTTGACCTTCTGCCTTTTCTGAATCTGTTTGCTGAGTATGGCCTCCAGCTCAGCATTTAAATGAGAGGACTGAGGCAAGGCTGTGTGTTCTTTCTATTGCATGGAGGATGTGCTCTTCCAGCTGGTGTGAAGACTGGGGCATGAATGGCTACATAACACTGGCCAAAGACCAGAACAACCACTGTGTAATTGCTTCAAATGCTTGGTACACTGTTGGATGAGCTGCTGGACAGGAAACAAGAAAGAGCAGACTGGGGCATGTGGTGTGGAGTGCTCTCTCCTTCACAGACCAGCCTCTCTTCTGTGGAGAATTAATGACAGCTGAGTCTTTGAAGGTCCATGTTGTGGTATGAATCAGTGATGTTTACTCACTAAACACAACTGCTATTTTACTACTAGGAAAAAAGTTCTGAATTTTCACTTTTAAAAAGACATAAAAATTTAGATCCTTAAAAATAAAACAAAATTAAGTTGGCTTTTCTGTTTCCGTCTAGTGATGGTGACTTTTTTGTGGTCAAACACAGTGTTCGTCTTGAAGACAGAGTGAGTTCTAGGAGAAAGAGAACACAGCTCTCCTAGTTAATAAGTCAGAATTCCACCCCAGGTGAGTTTTCTTCCCAGGATTTTACCTATCATGGTCTAAAAAACACTAAATCACAATGGCCAAAAATTTTAAAATGTTTATATTTATGTGGTGTTCTGTACTTGCAAATACTTTACGAATGTAAGTGTTCATTAAGATGTATGTATATACACATATATGTATATATCCCAAGTTCATGCACATACATAGCAACTTTCATTCAAACAAATTGAGAATCTAGAGACATATGCTTGTTTAGTCTTGACACAATTTGAGCAAGGGTGCAGTAGCCATTTGACTAATTCATTTTTGTTAGACTCTAGAGCAGTACTCTACCTGTGAGTCACAAACACTTTGGGGTTCAAACAACCCTTTCACAGGAGTCACATATCAGATATCCTGCCTATCAGATATTTACATTACAGTTCATAACCATAACAAAATCACAGTTGTGAAGTAGCAACTAAACAATTTTTTTGGTTGGGGGACCTGAGGAACTGTATTAGAGGGTCACAGCATTAGGAAAGCTGAGAACCACTGCCCTAGGGTCTCTTAAAATATTTCCTAAAAAATGAACACGCAAATATTGAAAACTGTAAGCATTCAGTTTAATCATGAACTCCATGTTGTACCTGGCTTTGCTGAAAGGTAACCACATCTTCTATGTGGTTGCCATCCTACTCACAGACTGAAAAGTGCTCAGTGAGGAGCTCAATATTTCATAGCATGAGATTCCCAACTCAAAACCTGTCCAAAATAATCAGCATATCCATATGGATGTGAATGCTTTATGTTTGTAGGCAGAGAAAGAACCTACGTTAAAACTTCCTACACTCCTTCTCTGATCATGTGCCTTTTCCCTGGGAGGATGGGTAGCTGCTGTCAGTGAGTTAGAGGAATGACAGTCACAGTACCCTTTCACCACTTACTTTGTTGTTTAGTCAGAAGACCCATGAAAAGAACTCTTCACAGGACCTCCCCTATCAGTGGACTTGAGGAGGGGTATGCATGAGGAAGGGGGAGGGAGGGGAGGAGGGAGGGGCTTATGGGGAAATACAAAATGAATAAAGTGTAATTAATAGTAAAAAAATTAAAAAAAAGAAAAGAACTCTTCACACTCGTGTTTTTATTTTAGCTCTTTGACCATATCTTAACCTCTGGCTTCAAATCCTTCGCTTAGCAGCAGGACGCTGCTCTGAAAGTGAATGGCAAACTTGACTTGTTTACCTTTCCCCCATCTCCATTGACTGTTCATCTAATTCTTCATACAACAAAGCACAAGCCAAAGGGAAGTGGTCTCGTGAGTTCAGGCTCACTACCTGCCTGCCTGGTTTCTCTGCACACAGGAAAGGTATTCTTGCACATCCTCTGGGGACCCCAGAATGAGGGGGACCCGCTGGTGAATACTCTCAGGCTTCACATCCAGGACAGGCTGAGTGCCTGTGGTTGCCATGCCTCCTGCCTGCTCGATGATATAGGCCACAGGATTGCATTCGTACAGAAGCCGGAGCTGTAGAAAAATGGGGACAGGCATATGCATTTTTCAAGTGGTCAGACAACCCAAGGCACACTTCTAAATACTAAGAGCAGTGTGAACTGCTGAGCTGTCTGTGACTCCTGAGCCGTCCAGCCTGCAGGTGCCTGAGGCACGGGCTGGTACCCACCTCTGGGTGCCATGTGCTAGTAACCTCTCAGGAGGCACCACTGACTGAGTGAAGCTGAAGCAACACAACTGCCTGTGTGCTGACATGTATGCCTATGTGACCTGCTTGGTTTTCCATTTGTTTGTTTTCTGCTTTTATTTCTTTATCATTACTGCTGCTGCTGCTGTTGCTGTCTCAAGGACATGAACAAACTGTCTTCAGTCTAAGACATTGAAGACACAGCAGGTTCATACTCCAGGGGGAGTGACCAACATGTCAGCCAAACACTTAAGATGCCTTTACCAGAGACCCTCACAGTGTCAGGCACCTTAGAGAAGACCTCACACATGGGGGCACACTTGGGAGTTAATCTTGTTCCCGATCATCCTCAAGAGAGACACTGACAGCCACTCTGTCCTGACAGCTCAGCCAGGCAGATCTTTACCTTAGGTGCCCCTCCCTTTCTTTGTCTTGGGGTCTTGAGAACAGAAAGGATTTGGCTATTGGACTGTAAGTTGGAATATAACTAGTTTATAAATTCAAATACATTTTAAAAGCTCAACATTAGCACATGATGCACTTTTGGGTGAGGACTCAGATACCTCTGCTGCACACACTGACCTTCATTGAAAAGACTTCATGGTGCTTTGACTTTCAGCCCATGTGGTCTCCTTTTTCAGTGGGGACATGTACAGTTTACCACAGCCACATATGTCAAGCACACAAGACAAGGATATATGTGTGCACTTTACATGCTCAAACACACAGTGATGGGGGCACAAAGCTAAAATGTGCAGATCAGGAACTGAGGATGTCTTCCATATGAATAATGGTCGCAACGCATGAGCGCATCTTTCTACATGGAGCTGCCTGTGTCTAGAACATGTTTATGTAATTACATGTGGACATTTTGGGGCTCATTTACAGTCATTCTAATAAATGTGTCTGTGGTCTATCTGCTGGAATTCAGCGGGTGGCAAGTGTGAGTTTATCCAAGAGCTTTACATCTTTTGCACAATCTCACTCAATTGCAGACCTCTCCATGTCATGAGGTCAGTGAGTCAGTAAATGTGAGCTAAACATTTAAAAAGAGAAATGCCTAATACATTCAGTCAACTTGTATGACACATAATACATGGCTTCTTTGGCATAAAGTTCTGCCTAGGACTTCTGTGGCTGGTCAAAATTCAGATACATTTCTGCAGGCAATTTTTGTCATGATAGAAGAATTTTTTGGATCACAAAGTTGTCACTTGACAATGCTGTTTTCATTATTGTCTCATAAAGTTGTCACTGGCTGTTCTGGAAACTATGTTTTAGAGACACAGAAGGGGATCTGAATAGAAGGTTTTATTCTAAATTCTTGTGTGTAGTTCAGGGCACATGCAAACCCCCCAGGAACAGGTTTAAAGACCATGCTTACAAACCACTTTTTTTTTTTTCTGGGAAGCAGATTGATTCACTGGGGTTAATGGTCCCAGGTAAGATAGTTCTGATAAAAATCAGACACAGCCTACAAAAGTGAGAGAGATATGAGCCAATGAGTCTAGAAACAGTGAGAGATGAGCCTATGGCTACAGAGAAAGTGAGAGATGAGCCTGTGACTACAAAAAAAGTGAGCGATGAGCACATGGCTGGTGCAAACAATGGGTATGAGGCCAGAGGAGGAGAAGGCCTGTAAGACTTGCCCATCATAATCATATCAGCCTTTTCTTCCCCAAACCTGCCATAGCTTCAAATCTCACTAAAAGGACCAGATCTTATTTCTTTTCCTCTGTGCTCTGAAGGACACACATGCTCAGAAGCAGCTCAGTAGCCATATAGCATATCTGGAGCAGTCAAATCCCAGTAGCTCACTGACTATCATGGCAGTCAGTGGACACAGGAAGTTACCTTGCCATTAGGACTCTTCTGGTTGGCTGGGTACATGAAGATTCCTCCATAGACCAGGGTGCGATGCACATCAGCCACCATGGAACCCACATACCTGGCCCCATAAGGAGCACTGCCATCCTAAAGGGCAAAAGGGAAGAGATCAGAACCACCAGGTTTAGCAGCTAGTGTGCACCAGCACCAGGGCTAGAGGCCAAATTGGCTTCTGCATTCCCAGGACTGGAGAGATGGATCAGTTATTAAGAGCCATCTAGCAGCTCCTTCAGAGGACCCGGATTCCATTCTTAGCACCCAGATGGCAACTCACAACTGTCTGCAACTCCAGTTCCAGGAGATCCAATATCCTTTTTTGTCCTCCATTGGCCCAAGGCATGCAAGTGGTACACAGACACACATGCAGATAAAACATCCATAAACATAAAATAAAAATAACCATTTAAAGAATTATTAAAGAACTAAAGGCTATTTGGGGCAAGAAAGATAGCTAAGTTGGGTGTTTACATACAGACATTCAATGCCCAAACCCCACATAAAAGTGGGGTATAGGGATACATGTTTGTAATCCTGGTGCTGGGGAGGTGAAGATGGGTAGATTCCTGGGGCTTAATGGCCAGCCAGCCTGGTCTACTTAACAAGTTCTAGACTGGTGATAAACAGGTGCCTAGCTCAAGGAATGGTGTCCAAGGTATCTCCTAGTCTAAACACACACACACACACACACACACACACACACACACACACACACCTCTGTAAACACAGAAAGGAGAGAGAGATTGTGTGTGTCAAGCAGGTGGACATTTTTCTCACCATTCTCCTCTATACTGTGGGGAGCTGTGGGGGGTACAGCTCAGCCCCTCATTGCTTTTGCAGACTATTTGCAAGAACCTGAGTTGGAGCCCCAGCATCAAAAACAATAATGATAACACAGGATTGCCCACAGTTAACTGCAAGACCTTGATATGACAGCTTGCAAACTGGACTCTCAGATGTGACCATATGCTATCTTAAAGCAGAGGTAAGCAGATCTTCAGCATCTATAGATTACAGCTTGGCGAACAGATGACCTGAGAGTGCTTCTTGCTAAAGTTATGAATTCTGAAAATGTGGCTTCTGACAAATTCTTAGAGGTACTGAATTGGGGGGTATTCATTTTAATATGTAACTTTTAGGTTCAAAGAAGATGGATCAGTTATGAAGAAGAGCAGAGTCCATCAAACCCATGAAGATGAGAGTTGTAAACAGTGGCATCCACCCCTTTAAAAAAAAACAGTGGACTGGGGAAGGGGCATGGGTGGAGAAGGGGAAGGAGGGTGGGATTGGCAGGTGAGGAGGGAAGGAACTACAGGGGAGATACAAAGTGAATAAATTGTAATCAATAAAAATGAAAATGAAAAAAGAAAAAGAAACAAAGGAGTCATTCACACCGTAGTCTCTGAGACAGCCTTCTCCCTGATGCCAGCCCAGGCTGTCTTCACTTACCTCAGGGAATTTCTTTTTCTGTACATACTCTGTGGTGGCAGCATCAAAATACTTGGCATAACCCTCATTAAGGCTAAAAATTTTCCCTTTCTTCTTAATCCGGATATCTTTTTCCACCAGCACAAATTCTCCAAGTGCCTGGAGAGATAGGACACTTCAGGAAGATGAGCCATGCTAGGAAACAGAAGTCTGAAGCACACCGCAAAAGAGCCAGAAGACCTTAGAAGACAGCAGCTTGCTGGAAGGACCCACGCCTTTCCCAGGGTTATCTGGAACCTACCATGTGGTGTTTTTATAAGTGATAGGAAGAAGAAAATGATATGCCATCTTTATAGGGACCTAAGCAGTAATGGAATAAGAAATTATACAAATCAAAGGAAAGAGGTAAAGATCTATTTCCTTTCCCTCAGGTTTTCAATGTCATTTCTAAGCAACCTTGCTGAACTAATCCTCAGGGTCTCTTCCCCAGGTTAGTATCTTCAGGGCACCAACAATGAGAGAAAGAAGCTATACAGATAAAAGAGACAAACAGCTTAACCATCAGCCTGTGGTCCAGCTATTTTATGTTAGTGATTCTGTCTTGAAAGCCATTCTGTTTACTTCTACCTGGAGAAAAGAAGAAATGCCTCCAATCCATTACTGGGTTCACTTCACGAAAGGAGATAATTGGCAAAACTAAAAGAACCCTCGTAGTTGTTAATAAACTTGTGGCCAATGTCCCAGAGTTCCTGCAAAGCATCCCTCAAGCAACTCTCCACTCAGTTCTGCTTAGTTCCTCCTAAGGACTGATGGAACAGGCATTGCCCTAAACATTACTGTCTGCTTCAGGGCCTGGAGGCAGCTCCAAGAAGATGAGGACCTAAGGTAAGGGCTCAGAGCCAGCGGCCAGGTTAGAAGCTGCCCAAAGAATATCAGCTTTACTCCCCAAACACATAGACAAGGCTATGACAATCATGCCTGAAGCAGGACAGAGATTAGGAAACTCAGCAACTACAGAAATATCTACCCACTCTTCTCTCCTGCCAAAGAAGAGTGAAGGATGCTTCCCAGTGAGTCTGTGTGCTCCTTAACCTTCCTGCCTTCAAGATGCTGGATGAAGACACCCAATCCTGGCTTTCACCCACATCTAGATAACATCTCATCCAGAAATGACCTCTTCTTCCTCAAATCTCTCAGAGAATTACCAAGCACTTTAACAAGCCCACCCAGCTCCCTTTCACAATTCTACACCCTTGCCAAAGAAACCCAACTTCTTTTTATTATAAATAAAGTGTGCCCCTAGTAGTTTTTGGCTACTGACATCAATCAGTCACTGTGGGCATCTTTATTTTGTGACAGCCCGATGTTTAATTCAACTCCTTTGTGTGTGTGTTTGTGTTTGTGTATGTGTATGTGTGGTATGTGAGGGGTGTTTATGTGTATGCATACCTGTGTATTCATGTATTCATGAGTTTGTGTGTGTGTTTGTATGTGTGTGAGGGTTGTTCATGTGTGCGCACACCTGTATATTCAAGTGTATGTGTATTTGTGTGTGCACATCTGTGTGTGTTTCTATAGGAGTGTGTGCACACCTGTGTGTATACGCATACCTATGTAAGCACTTCTGTGCATGTGTGTGTTCCTATATGTTTGTGTGGGTGCACATATATGTGTGTGTGTACGTGTATGTTTGTGAACCTGTGTATAAGAGTGTTCATGTTATGTGTGCACCTGTGTGTTAATATATGTATGTATTCATGTGTGTGGATTTATCTCCCACTTACAAATAAATGCTTTGAGGTTTGGGGTGTGTTCACTCAGCTGAGAGTTTAGTTAGCAAGCATTGTTAACTAACCTATAGTTCCTGAACACAAGATATGATCCAACAAAATCAAGTAATCAGCCTGCAAACCCTTGTATCCAGCAAGATCTGGCCAACCCACCAGAGAACACTCTCCTGCAAGCTTTGCTGCAAAAGCTGCTGGTCACTCTCCAGGGGACTCCTCCTTAGGACCCACCAAGGCTCCTTTAGTGTGAAGTTCCCATCCAAAACAGTGCAAAAGCTTCTCTTTGTGAAAATGTTATTTCTAGCAGTGTGACATCCAAAGGAAGATCCAGGTAGATTATGTTATGGTCTATCTCTCTTTTAGACACAGGGACAAGCTCTCACGGTGACCTCCGTCCCAGCTGTCAGGGCCTGGTCTGGAGTTGCCTCTGTGTGCCCTGTGGCCTCCAAACCTCTTCTGGCTGTTATAGAAGGCATCTGTCAATAGTGAAAGGCAAGCTGCTCAGGATCCAGCCTGTCACTAACAGGAACAAGTTCCTTACCATCGACCATTCAATTGTTGTGCCTTGCCTGCCTCATCAGAAAACTGGAACAAACAAAAATGATGGAGGGTCCCTCAAAGGGCTGCTTGATTTGTTGCTTTTTAACATCTTTAGTTCTTTATATATTCTGGATATTAGTTCTCTGTCAGATTTAGGGATGGTGAAGATCCTTTTCCAATCCATAGGATGTTGTTTTGTTCTGACAACAGTGTCCTTTGTTTTACAGAAACTTCAGTTTCATATAATTTGGTATTTTTATGAGAGCTCAGCATCTTCAACAAAGCAACTGATAAGTGAATCTCTCAGGATTTAAAGAAGAAATTCTATAATTTTGGAAATTCTTTCAATCTTTCTCTCTTTTAATCTGCACACCCCACAAAAGCTTAGCCTTCTCAAAACTCCGCTTTTACCCAGCTGTTTCTTCCTTTGGTCAGGACTATGCTGTCACAGTTTTCATCTGTCCAGAGACCATGCCTCTTTCTTTTCTATAGCCAGGCATCCTGTCCCCATGAATGGTGTGAAGGATAACACACTACTGGAAGGAGCCATTTTCCACCCATTACTATCTCTACTGTGTCTTGCACACAAGAAAAAATTTACCAGGCCCTTGCTACCCACAAGGAAAACCACTAGTCATGTGGTAATATTTTAATTAATATTCTAAATAATGCAAAACTCCTTTTATTTTTTCATTTATACTGGCCATACTTCGACTGTTTGGTCATCACAGAGGTGCACTGGGTGGACAGGATGCAGAGCCCATTATCTCACAGAGGCTTAGGAACGGGGCTTCTCAAAGGATCTATGGTCCCATCTGGAAATTGGTCTGGGGTTGTCACCTCTCATTAGACTGTAAACCACAAAACTGAAAGTATTCATGGAAAAGAAAAAGAAAGAAGAAAAAAAAAAAAACTCTTCTCCAGAAGCTATGCAAAAGTAGGTTGAATCTTTTCACCAAAAAGACATAATAAATGTCTGAAAAAATATATTTAACATGATGTAAACATCCAGGACAGTACAGAAGACCCACTGGATAAGAACAATTTTATGGTTTTGTTTGTCTGTTAAAATAAATTTACTTACACAAAACCTTACATGAAGTCCTTCATATTTTTCATAATACAGTTCTCTAACTCCAAAAACAAGTATTCAAAATGACTAGGAAATTATCTTAGGGAAAAAATTCAAACACAGAAGCCCCTGGAGTCCCCATGAACAAATGTCGTGTATTCAGTACTTACTGGATCCAGCATGAAGAGATCCACTCCTTGCCCCGTAGAAAGGGCCACCAGGGTTGCACTGCCATAGAGGGCATAACCCGCAGCCACAATATTGCAGCCAGGCTGCAGGGCATCCTTCTCGGAAGGCTCATCTTCTGTGGTCTGTAGAAAACATGAAGAAATACATTGTGTGTTGTGCCTTGTAAGAGCTCTTCACCAGAGGCTGTTCCACAGAGCTTCCGAAACCAGGAAAGGGGGCCCATCCTCTGAGTGAGAATTTTCAAAAAGCCTGTAGCCCTTCCCTGCTTCACCTGATCGCAGCTGCTTTCATACATCTCAGCCAGTAAGCATATTCAAACCTTGTCCTGAAAAGAGAAACTAAGATTTTCCTCTTCCACATCTACATACTCATATGATTTGGGTATGAAGTGTCCTTAGCCCCAAAGGCTCATGTGTTAGGTAAAGGCTTGGTCCTCAGCTCATGGAACTGTTTGGGGACAGTCTGGAAACCTTACAGTGTAGGACCTGAATCCCAGCCCATCTTCAGTAGTGTGTTTGCAGTCTACATTTTCCTTATAAACATTATCAGAAGAGAGGCACAGAGGAAGAAGCTCACTGTGGTTATCTTGATGACTTTCTCTTGCCCCTTTCTGCCCTCTGTTCCTGCCCCCTGTTAGATGAAGAATCTCCTCCAGCATACACTCCCACCATGATGTTGTCTGTTCAAGTGCATGAAGCCAAGCAACCAGGGATGGAACCCTCTGAAACCAGGAGCCAGCGTAAATCCTTCCTCCCTGTCTATCAGGTCTATCAGGAATTTGGTCACTATGATGAAAAAATAACATAGCCATCTCATAATTAAACTATATATTTTGAAACATTCTTCATGTCAGTGGTTGAGGTCGCTGCACAGGGGACAAAATGGGGCTGACTGGGGCAATTCTGGGCTGCAGAAAATGCATGCATAGGAAGTGAGTTGCTGGCTCGTGAACAGCTCAGACTGAGAGCCAGAGCAAAGACTGTTCTTGTGTCTCTCTGAGACTATCTGTTCTTGCATCCTGTAAAGGGCATTATAAGATGCTCAAGCCACCCTCTTTGTAAATGCCACAGGCCATGTCCCTACCCCACTGCAATGGTCTCTACTCAGCAGCCCTAGAAGGTAGATAGTACTATTATCTCCATGTTACAAATGGAGAGTCTGGAGTAACTAAAAAGCCTACACAACATCATGTGGAACTGAAATATTTTGGTTCATAGAAACTCGGAAGCCATGAATATTTCTTCCTCAGCATTTGTTTACATGTATGCATGTGCATGAGTGGTAATGAAGTATGTGTGTGTGTGTGTGTGTGTGTGTATGTGTGTGTGTGTGTGTGTGTGTATGCATGTGTGTGTGCTTGCATGTGTGTGTGTGTGTGTGTGTGTGTGTGTACAGGCCAGAGGACAACCTTGGTTTTATCTTCAGGAACACTGTCCACCTCCCTTGAGAGACTCCTCTCAAGGGAGTTCTCATTGGCCTGGAGTTCACCAATTAGGCTACACTGATTGGCCAGCGAGCCTTAGGCATCTGCCTGTCTTCACCACACCAGCAGTAGGATTTCAAGGGCATCCCACCACACCTAACATTTTTAAGTGGGCTCATGGGGTTACACTCAGGTCTTCATGCTCACAACTAACACACTTTACTTACTGACTTTGGCCCCAGCCTCAGGATACTGACTTTATGGTTTGTTGTTCCAGATACCTTATGGTATAATCAAACATGTCTTCTTTGCAGCCCTAGCACACCTTCATTAGTGTGTTTGAAGCCTACATTTTCTTTAGAAATATTACCAGAGAAGACCTATGGTTGTTTGGACAAGCTATCAGTTCCTGTGCTTTATTTAAAATTTAAGGCAAAATCCCTGTGTCCAAGTCCATGTAAATTCAAACATGATGGTTATATGCCATGAATAATAATATACCTTTGCTTCCAACACAGTTGGCTATCAAATGTTAACGGCTGCAATGATGGAGTCGAAGAACCCATCTCAATTACCATCCTGTCATTACTGACTCAGTGAGGTAAGCTGAATTAACGCTTTCTCTGTTCTTCTACTATTCCTCAGTAAAAGGGTTACAGTGTCATCTCTGTCCACCTCCTGGGAGTGAGGTGAAGAGTAGCCAAGATGTAGTGGTTGTCAATTCAACACATTTGGAAAGAAAGAACCTTAGTTAAAGAAGTGCCTCCTTCACATTGGCTTGTAGGCGGCATTCTATGGGGTATTTTCTTGACTCATAATTGTTGGAGGAAGACCCAGCCCACTGTGCTTGGCATTATTACAGGGCAGGTGAGCTTGAGTTGTATAAGGAATATAGCAGAGCAAGCTAGGGTAGTAAGCCAATAAGCAGCATTACTATAGGCCGGGAGCCAAAGCTATCTACGGAAGCCAAAGCCAAAGCTATCTAGCGGAGACAAAGGTAGTTACTGAAGCCAAAGCCAAGTAGAGAGCAAAGGTCATTTAGTGGAGACCTAAAGCTATGTAGTGAAAGAGTTATTTAGACCCTTAATCATGGATGATAGATTGTGAGGACATCCTTTGTTAGAGCATCTGTAAGATATCTTAAGAGAACATCCTTATGGTATCTTGCAGGTACAATATTTAACCCATGAAAGCACTCTTTCTATTTCCTGCAGCAGTAGATTAACCTTCCCCGTTTCCTGCCTTCTCCCTATATAAGTTGGATAAAAATTTCTAATAAACGGAAGCCTTGATCAGATGAACAGACTTGGCTTTCATTTCTTGCATCTCTTGTTCCTTTTTCCCCCATTCCTTCCAATCTCTCCACCTTAGAAACCCCGTTGAAGCCCCGCAGGCCGGGGCAACTATATGCTCTATACTTCATTTCCTATCTCCAGGGTCCTGCCTTGAGTTCCTATTTACTTCCCTCAATGATGGACTGTAAAATGTAACATGAAATGAACCCTTTTCTCTCTAGTTGCATCTGGACAGTGTTTTGTCACAGCAATAGAAAAGCACCAGAAGTGGGGTGCAGAAAAGATCCATGTCCAATAAAACAATATGGAAATCCACATAAATATTCAAGTGGGTGCCTTTCTTCAAACTGTATCTCAAACTTTCTTCTTAGAAACAAAGCCCCTTCACTTCTTCATCTCACTGCCACTCAACACTGAAATGTTATCATATTCTCATCTTGTGTGGTTCTTGTCTTCTGTGGTTGTCTCCTGCCCCTTAGGTAGTGTGTGATTTTGAAGGAACACCAACAAGACACATGTGGAGAGTCCATTACTTGAGTACAGACAAATGGTGTCTGGACCGTGAAGCCTGGTATAGAATTTATGGTCATGCTGGATGGTCCCAGACCAAGCCTTAAGATTTCCCCTCTTGTTAAGTTTGTAGAGCAGACAGAATGGCCCCAAGGTTACATTATCCCCCAGATTCTGAACATTGTGTTACTGAGCAAAGAGAATTTCGTGTAGGGTTGTGGATTTAAAACAGGGAGATGACCCTGGATTATCCTGATAATATTAGTCCAGTCTCATCAAATGAAAACTTATGAACCCATTTAGTATTTAGTTTTCAATGGCCAGAGTCAGGAGAATGAGGCAATGGCAAGGAGGGAATGTCTCAGAGAGTCTGAGAGAAAAACCATGGAACCTTTCTGAACCTTGACAACTGAAGAAGTCACAGCCAAAGAATACAGGCAGCTTCTAGAAATTGAAAAGGACTTTTAACAAAGAGAAAAATACCTCCAACCTACTACAAAATGAACTGAATTCTACCATCGACCTACGCTTGAATTAACTGTGCTCACCCAGGAGAAAATTCTCCCCACTCCTCACCCCAGCTTCTAGATACTAGATTAGCTGGTTTATTTGACTTAAGCAAATAAAGCTGCCAAGCCACCTCTGATTTAGTAAACAAATAATCAATAGATGCTCCAAGCCTTCTCTTATTTAGTGAACAGATAATCAATAGGTGTTTTACACCTCTAAGAAGGTGATAAATTACACAGCAGCAACAGAAAACTAACAGTAAGTGTTGAGTCTCCCTAGGAAGTAGAGAATGTGTGCTTAGAGCCTACTGCAAGTTGAGTATCTCTACTGTTGTCATGCCTGCAGCCCCAGCATCCAGAGCATAAGGCAGGAATATTGCAAGTTCATGGCCAGCTAGACCCTGATTAAAAGATAAATAAATAAAATCCTCTAAGATCTGAAACTTTTAAAGTACCAATATAGGGCCATGCGTTGTGGGCTAGAGTCAAACTGCAGGTGCACTAAAACATATACTGCATAATGTTATGTGCAGAAGGTAACGAGTACAAGGTGTATAAGAAACACAGATGGGTTTTGTGTTCATCCCTAAGACAACTCATTATGTATTTGCAAATATTTCAAAATCAGAAATCACAATACTTTTGGTCCTCAGCATTTTGGGTGAAGGGATGTTCAGTATGTGCAGCGCCTCATATCTGTGTTCCATCCAGGCAATGAGAACAGGGTCCCAAGGGAGTCTTGCCATTTTACTCTCCCAGGGAATGTAGAAGGAAGGGAGTTGGAGAATCCCAGTGAAGAGCCCAAGGCAGAGGGGGAGGAAGAGGTCTTTCTGGAGTTGCTTATAGCGCTTTATCTAGTGAGTGAAGAAAAGATAGACCTTCAGGCTCAGCTTTCAGTCTAGGAACTGTATGGAAAGATACCTGCCTGTCTACTCACCTTTCTGTAGATAGCAAATATGGTTCCAATGGAGGCCAGACAGTCAATGTTTGAAGATCCATCCAGTGGGTCAAAGCAAACCACATACTTCCCCTACATCACAGAGAGACAAACACCAAGTCAGCATAGCTACCTATTGGCACAAGTGTTCTATGTCAGAGATGCATGTTACTGATGTCTGTACAAATGAGAGATTTACAGTTGGAAAAAAAAAGTGGGGAACAGCCTAGAACTCATTGGCACAGGAGACAACTTCCTGAACAGAACACCAACAGCACAGGCTCTAAGAGCAACAATCAATAAATGGGACCTCATGAAACTGAAAAGCTTCTGTAAAGCAAAAGACACTGTCATCAAAACAAAACGACAGCCTACAGATTGGGAAAGAATCTTCACCAACCCTTTATCTGACAGAGGACTCATATCCAGTATATATAAAGAACTAAAGAACCTGAAAAGCAACAAACCAAGTAATCCCATTAGAAAAATGGGGAACAGAGCTAAACAGAGAATTCTCAAAAGAGGACATTGAATGGCAGAGAAACACTTAAAGAAATGCTCAACCTCATTAGCCATTAGGGAAATGCAAATCAAAACGACCCTGAGATTTCACCTTACACCCATCAGAATGGCCAAGATGAAAAACTCAAGTGATAGCACATGCTGGAGAGGTTGTGGAGAAAAGGTTGAGTGTCTAGGTTATGGATATAACCTAGAACTTCTGCTCGGATGTGGCCCGTGGTAGCTCAGTAACCAAGTAGTTTTCCAAAGCAAGGGGAACAAGGACTATTTCTAACAGGATCTCAAGGTCAGGCTCCTTGACTCCCCCCCCCACCCAGGGGAGGAGCAGTCCTGTTAGGTCACAGAAGAGGACTTTGCAGCCAGCCCTGAAGATACCCGTGAAAACAGGGTCAAATGAAAGGGGAGGAGGTCCTTCCCTATCAGTGGACTTGGAAAGGGGCAGGGAGGAGACCAGGGAGGGAGTTGGGGAGGGGGAGGGAATGAGGGAGCAGGATACAGCTGGGACAGAGTTAACAAAATGTAACTAAAAAGAAAAATAAAATTAAAAAAAAAAAACAAAACAAAAACAAATGAGAGATTTAGACTCACGGTCCTTCTTTTTTTTTTTTTTTTTTTTCCTTCCATTTTTGCACCCCCAAAGCCATTGCATATGAACATACCTCAACAGGTACATGTTATGACCTGTTATGTGCTGGAAAATGTATTAGGAATCACTTGTTGCAAGGCTCAGGTTGTGGGACCAATATTCAAACCCAGAAACACAATACACAGGCAGACATGCACATAAGGTATGGGCAAGTGCAGGCTGGATAACTAAGCAGGTGAGTGGACAGAAAGCAAGCAAAGCTAACATCTGATAATACAAATGGCTTGGATTAAGAAAAGCAGGCACAGAGAGAATTGGGCGGAAGAATGCTAGGCAGGCAGATAGTTCAGTTTCCTAGCAGAGGGCATGGGTTTTCGTCAGAGAGGTATAAAGGGCTTTACTTTATCTTTTCAGTCTTTCTGCCAATTACAAAGAAATAGCCCCCATCCCCAATTCCCAATGTGTGTGACAAGGACCAGTAGCTCAGCATACAGCATGATGCTTGGTTTTCATTGTTGTTCTTCTTTTTTATTTGTTTGTTTTTGTTTTTATTTTTGCTTCTCTCTTGCTATGATAAAACACTCTGGTCAAAACCAGCTTTGATGGAAAAGATTTTATTTTAACGTTCACTTCCAAGATCACAGTCCATTCCCAAAGCAGGAACTGAAGAAGAGGCTTGAAGTCCTGCCCCTTACTGGTTTGCAGTCCTCGTGGCTTGCTCAGCCTGCTTTCTCATACACTCTAGGATCACTTTCCCAGACATGGCACATACCGCTGTAGGTTGGACCTCTCACATCATTCACACATTAAGAAAATGCCCACACAACCTTTGGGCAGAGTGCAGGGAATCTTAGGAAAGAAGTGGGAAATAGTAAGATCTGGAGAGGACAGGAACTCCATAAGGAGGGCAACAGAACCAAAAATCTGAGCACAGGGGTCTTTCCTGAGACTGCTATTCCAACCAAGCACTATGCATGGAGATAACCTAAGACCCCTGCACAGATGTAGCCCATGACAGTTCAGTATCCAAGTGGGTTCCATTGTAATAGGAACAGGGACTGTCTCTGACATGAACTGATTGGCCTGCTCTTTAATTTCCTCCCCCTGAGGGGGAAGCAGCATTACCAGGCCACAGAAGAAGACAATGCAGCCACTCCTGATGAGATCCAATTGACTAGGATCAGAAAGAAGGAAAAGAAGTCCTCCCCTATCAGTGGACTTGGGGAGGGGCATGCATGCAGAGAGTGGAGGAAGGGAGGGATTGGGATGGGAGGAAGGAGGGAACCACAGGGGGGATACAAAGTGAGTAAAGTGTAATTAATAAAGAAAAATAAAAAAATAAAAAAAAATAAAATGCCCACAGACCTGCTTTCAGGCCAGTCTGATGGAGGTAGTTACTTAGTTGTGACTCCCACTTCCCAGGAGACTCTAGTTTGGGTCAAGAGAAATTAACCAGGACAATATTGTGACTGAACATTGACTGCATTTTGGGCCACTAGCAAACTTCAGTCTTTAATAAATAGTCGTGAATTTGGGGAATGCAAACCCTCTCATGCACTAGGAAACTCTGCCATGGGCACAGGATTATGTTCTTTGAATTAGTCTATTTGTTAGGCTAATCTATTTGGGAAAATCCACCCCCTCCAAGAAACTGAAGCCCTCTTCTGGACACGTGTAGTGAAAGCCATAGATAAGAAATAGTGAGGAACTGAATGAGACAGTGCATTGTACAGCTCTTGTCAAAAAGAAGACTTGGCCAAGTAGACCCTCCTTTTCTCTGGTCTCACAAGTCCAAGACCAAAAATGATGCCACGGCCTGTTTAGTGATGCAATGGGTGATATCTACCCCAAAGGACATAAAGCCCACATAAGATTTCCAACTAAAGAGCTGAGAAACCCTTTATTTCAAAAACAAAAACAAAACACCCACAAACATCTCAAAGTAGAAAACAAAACAAAACAACAAAAATCCCAGAAAAAGACTAAGCAAGATAACCATTCTCTCGGCCCAGTAGCACCACCATCTACTGATGATGTGGAGCACCGCTGCCCGCCCTGGACGCACCCTTCTCTCCTTGGCTGTGATTATGGCCTCTTTATTCTCTTCAGAGACTAGGACACAGGTGCTGTAGGAGGACTGAAGCATGTTGATGACCAGGGAATTGGATAGCACGTCCAGTTTCTTTACCTCATCTCCTGTCACGTTCACGCTTCCCGCAATCCCATACCTAAGAAGACAAGGTGGATTAAGTCTCTGAAGAAGCCTTAACTACAGGAAAAAAAAAAAGTTCAGAGCCCAAACCAACAGTACACTTATCCTTCTTCCATGCCTCTGCCATCTCCAAATTATAACTGTCTAGGGGGTATGATCTGACTCAAAGCAGTGGCCCTCAACATTCCTTCCTTACACTTTGAGGACACTGTCATATTTCCATGGCCTTCCAAGGAGATTGACCCAGATTCAGCATCACTAAAATGCAGATTCCTGCTTGGCATTGGCAGCTAGAGAAGATGGGAGACCCCCTAATGTCAGAAGCATTGTGATATCCAAGGACAACAAAGAAAAAAGATCCATAGCTTTTCTGTGTCGGAATGTCAGGCTTCAGCTTCAGACATCTCTACAGGAGCCTGTGCTTCAGTTCCTGCCTTGAGTTCCTGCTCTGACTTCCCTTCATGACAGACTGCATAGCATATGATGAAGTAAACACTTCCCTCCTCCAATTGCTTTTGATCATGGTGTTTATCACAGCAACAGAGGATCTAAGCCATACCCAGAGCTAGGTTCTTACATGAGTGTCAGGCATGGTGGCATCTCAGAGCCTCCTCCTAAGATCAGCCTCAGGGTGTCCACTTGCAGTGGGACTCAAGTCCTGCCAAGGTTGCTCCAACTCCCCTAGCATAGACTGGCCCCCAGGTAGCCGTTTCTCTCCTTGCCTCTGCTCCTGCCATCCCCAAAGTGTGACGCCCGCTGCTCACCTTTTAAGTACCCCAAGCCTTCCATGTTCCTTCTCTACAGTACCACACCCTGTGGTGCCCTCATGGTGGTGCACCGACTGCTTGTGCAAGGCTTCCTTTTGCACCAGCTGCTCACTGAGGACCAGAGCCACATCTTACAATCTGCAACCCATAGTCGCCGCACAATAAATGTTTGCTGTGCTATGGGAGAAAAAAAGCCATTTACCCTCTTCTCTCTGAAAAAATCCTTGGGTAATGTGAACAGGAGGCTCAAGCTGAGAGCAACTGATGGACCCAAACCCATGGCAAAGCATTCCTTCTCCTCCTGAAATGAAAGCCTCCCCTCCCACTTCACCCCCATCCATAATTTGATGTATGGTATGATGAGCTTTGGAAAACAATCCTAGCAGCATGACCTCAATGGCTCTTTACCCTTGGTTCAAAGCAGCAGCATGACAGCAAACAACAATGAGGACAATAAAATTGGGTTGTTTTGCATATGTAGTATTGAGTACTGAGGCAGTTGCTGCTGGGTCATGAAGAGCTAGGCAGAGGTATCTAGCCTGCAGCCTACAAGCCCCGTGCATCCCAGGATAGCTATGAATGCAGGCCAAAATATCTGAAAACTACAGTGTCCTGTCACAATGCCAAAAGGCCAGACATAGCTGCATGGAACAATGTCAGGACACCTGCAGTCTCTGTCTCACTTGCCTTGGTTGCTCTCTGTGTGAAGGGTAGGATTTTTCCTCTGTGAAGAGCACATCAGGGACCTAGGACCCAATCTGATACCATTTCCAAGGTTAGGTGTGCCTCCAAGTGGGCAACCACTTAGGCCAGCCTTTAAATTTCTCCTGGTATGGTCTTGGACCCACAGTAGCTAACAGTGGGGCATTTCTTGAGTATTTATCACAGGGCCTGGCTATCAGAACTGTCATCACAATAACTTACTAACACCTTACAGCAACCCTTTGAGTTAAAGCCATCAGTACCTCTCCTATTTACAAACATGGAGGTCTGAGCAAGAATAAACCATTGTCCACAGCCACAAGGTCAGAAAAAAAGCCAGTTAAATTTAACTATCTAGCCCTAAACTCCTTGGTCAGACGCTGAACCACTGGGAAGCGCATTGCAGCAGATATATAAGAGGCCTGCCAAGACAATGGGTGTGGAGCCAAGAGGCCTTTGCAGAGGAGGGTAAAAGTGTGGGCGAAAACTGAGTGGTCACAGGAAACCGGCCCTAATTATAGCAGCACCACAACACAGGAGAGCAAAGATGCTATCTAATGTTCCCTGGGTGATTGTCACACATGCAGTCACCTCACATTCCAGAAGTGTGTTCTTAAAGGCAGCACTTGACTGTTCCTGACAAATGAAGTAATAAATGCAGTTAAGGGAATCCACAGGCAGGATAAATAGATAAGCACCTTTAACTTGGATTCCACTGCTAGTTCTCAAACACTTACACAATAAGCTCTGCCATGGCTGTATGGTTGCATTTATGACATTAATGCTGCTGCAGTCAGGGATCAAAGGCACCACATTGTTAAGCATAAGCTGGCTCTTTGATCATCTCCCCCTGACCGGGGTGGGGGTGGGCCACAGAGGAAGACTATGAAAGACAGTTCTGATGAGACCTGATAGGCTAGGGTCAGATGGAAGGGGAGGAGGACCTCCCCTATTAGTAGACTGGAGGGGGGCATGGGAGAAGATGAGGGAGGGAGGGACGGAGGGAGAGAGGGAGAGAGGGAAGGATTGGGAGAGGATGAGGGTGGGGTCTACAGCTGGGATACAAAGTGAATAAACTGTAATAAATAAAAAAATTATTAAAATTTTTAAAGAATAAGCAATTTAAATAGGTGGACTTTGTTGGCTCTTCTTTGGGGGTTTTCCCCACCCCACCCTTAAAAACATGTATATCTCTTCAACTTCTGAAATGGCCTTCACTGGAAATACTACAATCAAGGTGGAATTCCACATGAGGTAATTTCTTTTCATCATGGCTTAAAACCGGGGTTCTGGCTGTGGTCACCAGCAACTCCAGCGTGAATGTGGCCTCATTCTGCAAAAGAGAACCAAGCGAAAGTGCTCTGCCCCACCTGCCCCAGCCCAGCGGGCACAGGAACACTTGTACAAGGAAAAGGGCAATAAAGCACATTTAAAAGTTCCGGGAAGAATCTGCCTGTGTAAACATAAGTAATGAGAATTCAATATTGGTTTTGAGGCAACAGGCTACTTCTGTGTTGCCATGACAATCGGTGATAAAGGGTAATCCCTCTTTTCCTCTACGGCTGTGGCTAAGCTTTTTTCCCCTTTCCTGGCACAACATGCCAAAGGCTGCTATCTCAAAGCAGACACGAAGAATTTAAATGCAGCATTCATGGGGTACAAAAACAAATTAATTTGGACCCAGTTTGTAAAACAAGCACCTGTGGCTCCCACACCCCACACCCACACCAGGACTGGGCCTGGGCCCTAGGCAACTGTGCCTGCGCATGCTCTCCAGGACTCACAGGTTGGCCAGGCCGGCCTTGCGCACAGCGGAGGAGATGGCTTTGATAGCAGTCAGCATGGAGTTGAGCAGCTGTGTGAGCTCCCCAGTTCCTTTGGCCTGTCGCCCCTTTTCCATAACATAGCGAGTCAATGTGAGCATGTCTGTCTCAAAAGGGCTTCTGTCTGTCATTGTGGCGGGTGAGACCTCAAAGCCTCCTTTCTTCCTTGCAGGGATCCTTGCCCTCTCTGGGCAGCAGTTTCACAGCCTGCACACTAAAGAAATACCTGCACTGACTGTGCCAGCGCACAAAGGGAAAGGGCCCCAGCCCACATGACTCAGATAGCTGGGCAAGCCCTCAAGGAAACTTCCCTGATGGTGGCAGTTGCTGTAAATAGAACGACACCGCAGAAAAGGGCTGGCCTCATTCTCTACTTAAGCTCCAAGTTTTATTTTTATATTTTATTTTTTAAGATCCCGAGAAGCCACACTTGGCCATGAGTGAGAGGAGAAAAGACCAGCTAATAAAAATGACCCACAAAATCCTTTTATTAGACACAAGAAAGTTCTCTGCAGTAGCTCCTACTGAGCCTCATTCTGCATGGTACTACTCTCAGATGGCAGACTGCAGGCACCTTATCTGGGGCGTCGGTCATAGAGCTAACTGATGACAATCCCAGAACAACTGTGGCAGTTCTTTCAGGCTTATTCCCGATGTGTGTGGGACTGGAGGAGTGTCCCTGGGAGGGACCCAAATCTGGAAGTGTAATATTACATTCCTAGCAAAGTGTCAAACCCCAGGGTTGATTTATCAGTTTCTCTGGATTCTTTTCTTTTCTTTTCTTTTAAATTTCTCTATTTGAATAAGAACAACAGGGCTGAAGAGATGCCTATGTTGTTAAAGGCACTGGCTGCTCTCACAGAGGAGTTTGGTCCCAGCACCCAGTTTGGTGGCTCACAACCATCTGTAACTCCAGTTCTAGAATACCCAATGCCCTATTCTGACCTCCAAGGGCACCAAGCATGTAAGTAGTGTACATTCATACATGCAGGCAGAACAATCATACACACAAAATAATCTAATAAAAAACCACCACAAGGAGACCAACAAAGCTAAAGGATCTGAGCCCAGAGGGTCCTGCAGAGACTGATGCACCAATGAAGGACCATGCATGGAGAGGACCTAGACCCCCTGCTCAGGTGTGGCCAATTAGCAGCTCAGTCTCCATGTGGATCTCCGAGGGAGGAGAGCAGGGGCTGCCTCTATCATGAACTCAGTTGACTGTTCTTTCATCACTGGTGATGCAGCCTTGCCAAGCCAAGGAGAAAGAGGATCCAAGCAGTCCTGATGAAACTTAACAAGCTATGGGCAGATGGAGGTTAGGACACCTCCCCCTTTCAGTGGACTAAGGGAAAGAGGTAGGGAAAAGGGGAGGAAGAGTGGGACTGGGGAGAGGGAGCTTCAGTCAGGATATATAATGAATAATTTGTGAAGAAAAAAAATATTTAATTTTTTTAAAACCTTTTTTTGTAAAGTGTTCTAGAGTTAACTGCACTTAGAGCTAGTGATGTTCCAATTCAGTGATAACATCACTTTCTCTGACTACAGACAGGCCAGGCTCTGGGTCCCAAGATGGCTACTGCTATGTGGATAATTTGGGAGCATTAATAAACTCTTAAAGCCTTGGTTTCTTCATAAATTCATATAACTACTGGTGGGGTGGTTGTAAGGATTAAAAATCCATAGATGGGCCTGGCATCAAGGTCAGTGTCTTAGAAACTTGTACTCTTCCAGCTCTTCAGTGTGCCTAGAATTGTAAGTGTACATAGAAATGATTTCAAATATCCCCACCAATTTGGAGAGCTGAATCAGGAGTCTGCCAAGTCTAGCCAACATATCAAGACTGTATATCAAATAAATCAATCAGCAAAATTTCTTTAGCTACAAGTCATAGAAAACTCAGAGAAGCTGGTCACAGTGGTGCACACCTGTAATCCCAGCACTTGAGGAGGCAGAGGCAGAATTTGAGGCCAGCCTGGTCTGCAAAGCAAATCCAGGACAGCCAAGGTTACACAGAGAAACCCTGTCTAAAAAAAAAAAAAAAGAAAGAAAGAAAGAAAGAAAAAGAAAAACACAAAAACCCTCAGAGCAATTTGTACATGCATTTGTTTTGGTTTTTCTCTTAGACCATGGTTTTACCATGGCTGTAACATCCATTCAGGTAATCAAAGGTTTGAGAGCCCCCATTCATAGGCTGGAGGGATTAATTGGTGAAGTGCTTGCCACACAAGCCAGGGATCTGAGTTTAGATTCCCCAGTACCCACGTTAAAAACAAGACATACTGGAGTCCATCTGTGATTTCAGCTCTGGGGAAGAGACAGAAGTGGCAGCCTTGCTGGCCAGCCAGTCAAGTCAAAGCAGTAAGATTTGGGTTCTTGTGTTCAGTGAGAGACCCTGTGTAAAAAACAAAAATGCTAAATGTTAAGTTCTGGCCTATGCACAAAGCTGCATTTAAAGGGTAGACGTTCAAGTTGCCAAAGTGGCCTGAGATGGCAGCTGCTGACCTTTTCTGCAAATGCCAAAGTTCTTTGGGGAAGCACAACAGAGTGGAGATTGATAGAGTGGCCACAGTGACAGTCCAGAGGATGGGTGACAGCTGCCCCTCACAGGTATTTCAGGACTGCTGACACATTAGTGACAGGGCTACTGGTGACCTAGTTGTGTCCCATGAGAGATACTGACAAGCCCGAGTGCATCAGGACAAATGGACCCTAGATCCACCCGGAAACCCAGACCTAGAAATGTTCTGGAATGTTGTCTGAGGACCCTTCCTGTTGGCAAAGGTGCTTTATCTAATCCTGTCATGTGATGCCAGCACAATTTCATCACATAAAGTCCAGCACCCCTGCATGTAGCGCCTTTGGGGGTACCTGCTAATCTATGAGTCAGGTGGCACTCACCTACAGTCAAAGGAAGCTTCAAGGATGTCTGGGAAGATGAGGTGTATGACAGCTTCTCCACATCCATGCCATGTCCCACAACAGGTGACATGACACATTGTTTTAACATGCCCCTTTTCTTCTTCCAGTTCACAGCTACCTCCACTCTCCCACCACTATGTGTGGAGTCACAGGGACCCTTCTTCACTTCAACACTTCACGGAAACTAAAAGTGGCATTCCTATGAAGAGACACCCTCTCAACAGGATGGCTGTGTGGAGGAGGAGTGCTCCGACTATCACACAGGGGCTGTGTGATGCTTAGTGGGAAGACACTTCCTAGGCCCTGCCATACTATGTCACTACACAGGTTCCTTAAAAAATGGGATGTGCAGCTGCGAAGACAGCTCAGTATAAGGGCCAGTAAGGTGATCCCATGCAAGCATGAGGACCCCAGTTGCAGCCACAGCACCCATGTAAAGCCAGATGTGTTGGCTTAAGCCTGCAGCTTCGGCACTTAAGAAACGAGCAGAATTCCAGGGACTCCTTGGCTTACGGGCCAAGCTCAGCAAGCTCAAGGTTCAATGAGAAACCTTGTCTCAAAAGGTATGATAGGAGGAACATCTGAGGAAGACACCCAGCTCCAACTTCTGGTCTCCATATGTGTACATACCACTTGTAAGTGCGCTCACCCACGTGCACAAACATGTTGATACATAACACACCTAAAAATCTAGAATTTTGTTTTTACCGTTTCGGAGGCCAAAAGCCCAGAACCGAAGTGGCCTGCTCCCTCTTAGAGTTTTGAGTAGTATTCTTCCTTGCCTCCTCTGGCTTCTGGTGCAATCTTTGGCTGCCATGGCTTGTGATATCACTTTGGTCTCTGCCTCCACTGTCATATTATCATATAAGGTAGCTGATCACACTTGTCGACTACATTTGGAGTTAGCTAAACCCCAAGCATCTGCGCACATCTGCAAGGGATTTTTCTTGGTTGGATTGTAGGTGGGAGGCCTACTCTAAATCTAGATCAGCTGTGGTCAAAAGACCCACCCAGTATCTGAACCACACTTCTGGTGGCAACCAGAAGGACATGGAAGAAGGAAAGATTTTGCTGTTTGCCTGCTTGCTTTCACTCTCATTGGCAGGTTCATCAATCCTGCTGAGCCATTTCTTTGCTGGTGTTCTGGTGTTAGAACATACTTCTTAGGGATTCCAACACAAACTGGCAGCCCTCTCAGACCTCCCTGGGGTTCCAGCACCAGATGGAGACTGCTAAGGCATCCAGTCTTGTAGACAGACAGCCAATGTTGAACTACTCAGACCACAGCCTGTAAGCCCCTCCAGTAAATGTGTGTGTGTGTGTGTGTGCGCCCATTCTGTCAGTTTCGTTCCTTTGAGAACCCTGACTAATGTACATGTCCTTCTCCCATGTAACATAAAGGCACTTGCTACATTTAGGGCCCTCCCATGGGGTATAGGATGTATAGGATGAGCTCATCTCAAAATCTTCATCTTCATCACATCTGCAGTGACCATTTACCTAAATAAGGTAAAGGATCACATTGGCTGATCCCAGAGATTGGAATGTGAACATGTCTTTGAAAGGATACCATGAAAACCAACTACAGGCATCTTGAAATGGTTCCCAAACCTGAGGCTGAAGATCAGGCTGCAGTTACTCCAAGAGCTTTGAGAATCTCCATCCTGCCTGACCTGTTCCATCCAATGTCCAGTGCTATATGCTATGAGTAACCAGCCCTTGCTGGCAGAGCCAGTGCAGGAATGGCTTCCAGTCACATGGGAAGAATGTCCTCTTGCATACACAGTGGATGCACCTTATGCTGGTTTGCTATGAGATTTAAGTTGGAAAGTTAATTTAATTTAATCAAATTAAATTAAATTAATTTAGTTAATTTAAGTTTTCATAGCTATGAAAACTCAAAAAGCAGCCCAAGATGGAGGGGTGGAAAATGGAGCTTCTTGATAATTTCTACTTCCACTGATACTGAAAAAGTTGGCAGAGAGGCCTGGCAGCCTGCTGTGTAAGGGGAGGTTTCAAAGGGTCTTTGCAAAGGAGATGCTGTGTTTGAAAATAGAAGGGTCGCCTGCTTCAGGGCAGACTTAGTTTGGTAGAAACTAAGTCTCCGTGCATTTTTAGTGGTAGTGTGTGTTCAAGGAAGTCATCCAAAAACCCCCAAGGATGAATCTAAGACTGATCAGAGGAGAACTGCTATTTGCTGTTATTGCTCTGGATCCTGTCCCTGGCTCAGGGCTACATACAGAGAAGAACCTGGATGTACTCAGAGAATACAAATAAGAGTTCTTGAAAACATTCCACTAACTAAACCTACATCTCAATAATCAAAAGACAATGGACAGGACACACAGACAAAACAGAAAGGGAATATTGTTGCTTCACTTGGTTTCGTCAAAGCGTTGGGGTATAAGTTTCCCGACATTGCACCCCTTTAGTGCTCTAAGAAGGCTGAAAAACAAATGGAGGATGAGGAGATGACTCAGTCAGTCAAGCGCTTGCCTTGGAAGCAGGGAACCTGAGCTCAAGCCCCAGAATCCATTATTAAAACATGAAATAAAAAATTAAAAAGTAGATGGCACCCAAGAAACAACATCTAAAGTTGTTTTTTTCATTCTCCACATGTGCACATATGTGAGGGCCCATGCACATCACACACACACACACACACACACACACACACACACACACACACAGGAAAGGTAATTTTTGAGTAAGGGTTTTTCCTGAGAGGGCCAACCATAACTGAAATCAGAGACATGCTAAGATTTCAGTCTGGTCAGCAAACAAAAGCAAAATCCAAGGCTTGGGACTGAACCAAGTTTCCTGTTGAAAGAACAAGAAACCAGGGAAGTGTTCCATTCAAAAGTGAAAAAAAGAACATTTTAAACACACACACACACACACACACACACACACACACACACACGAAGCTCACAAGGATTCAGGGTTCCTAACACCTGCAATAACTTACCATGATCTTGAACTTCTGACCCAGAAAAGGGTGAACTGTTTCCAGAATAAACTGTGTGCCAAACTGGTATACTTCTTACTACATTCTCTGCATAGGACAAGCTGTGGCAGGTCCTCTTAGGGATACCCCCTGACTCAAAATGTACCCACTGGGCACACGGTCTGTTTCCTTAAATTTAGTTCTTAAATATCAACTAAGGAGTATGCATGACCTGGACCTAGGCCCTCTGCACACATGTAGCCGATGGGCAGCTTGGTCTCCATATACAGTACCTGTTGAGTGGAGGAGGCACTGTTTCTAATGGACTCTATTGCCTGCTTTTGGATCACTTCCCCCTGGTAGGGATGCCTTGCCTGGCCTCATGGGATGAGGATATGCTCAGTCCTGATGTGACTTGATGTACTGGAGAAGGTTGATATGAGGGGAGGAGGGCCTCACCTTTTCTGGGGGAAAGGGAGAAAGAAAGGGGGCAGATGGGAGGAGAGGATCGAGGAGTAGGAGTCACCCTCGGGATGTAAAGTAAATACATTGAAATAAAAAAAGAAAAATTGTTATGGTCAATCATTTTCATAATGACAACTAGACCTTCCCTAGAGCTGATATGGCTTTGTTATTTGATGCCATTTTTATATAAAAAAGCACTATTAACTAGTAACATAAACTGTCATTGTGCCTTGGATTGTTATAGATGCCTGCAGGAGGCTGAGGAGCCAGATGCTGGCTAACAGAGCTGAACGGGACCGCACATATGAGAAGTGGCATGAACTCATTTATGGCCTGAGAAGTGACCAGGATGCTGGAGTTCATTTCACAGCCCTACCTGCCACTCACTGGCTGGAGACCTTCAGCAGCTTTCATCAACCCTTAGTTCCCCATTTCATCATGGATAAGATAGACCCAACATTCCATACAGCATTCTAATCATGCTGCTATATGGAGAGGGAATGAGTTGTCTAATGCTGTAGTGATACAAAGCACTGAAAAAAAGTTGTGTAAAGGAAGATGGCATTTATTTCTCCTTCACCTACTTAACAGATGTAGTACCTGTTGTAGTGGTGTTGCAACAGGTGGATAAAGCAGTCTTGAGCATTGCAAAGCATCGAACTGTGAAACTATCCACACTGTTAGGTTTGCTGTCTAGAAACAGAGTAGTGTCACGTGATGATCCAGATGAAAGGCTCTACTTTGGGCCACAGGTGAGGCCGGCCTTCATTTGCCTTCGTGCTCCTTGTAGATCTCCAGGAGCTCTTGCACATCATCAGGAGACCCCATGATGACTGGTGCCCTCTGGTGGATGTCAGTGGGAATAATGTCTAATATGGCTTCCTTCCCTGTGGTGGCAACTCCGCCTGCCTTCTCCATGATAAAAGCCATGGGATTACACTCATACAGCAGCCTCAGCTGGAAAAAAAACAAAACAAAACAAAACAAAAAAAACAGAGACCAAGGTCTTCAGCCAGAAGGTGTTTACCATTGGGGGATAGGGAGTTTGTTCTATTGTAAAGCTCTGCAGAGCTACTGAGAGTTTCCATGGTAACTCATCCTCTCTCCCTCCTCCCTCCCTTTTCCCTTTCTCCCCCTCCCTCTCCTCTTTCCTTCTGAATTAGGAACATTCCCTTGTGTCTCAGAATGCATCTGAGACAAAAATCATTAGCTATTTGGTTGAATAAAACCATTCATGGAACCAGAGCTAGCCAGGCACCTGACACAAACATGAGGCAGACCACCTGGTTTCGGGACAGAATGACATTTTGGCAGCACTAACAGGTCCCAACCCTTTACAGCCGGAGACCGGACTTAATGAGTGATTCCATGTGTGCTGGACCGGCTCAGTCTGTTCTAAAAGCATTTTGAAAAATCCAGGGTGGTGTCTGGCTGCAGACATCTGGAAGGCAGACTGGCTACTCCAAACAGTGTGCTATTATCTAAAGCCCTGTACATTCCTCTGGAAAAGCTCCTAAGGCTTCAGAGCTGGGGGAGGGGTTCTGCCGTATACCCTGGTGCTTGCATTTGAATATTAATTTTTTATTGCATACATTTTCGTGCAGTTGCCTGTGGAGCAGACTGACTGTGCTAATGTTTCCTAACTCTGTTTCCATCTGGGAATCAGGGCCAGACTTGAAAACCTGAAAAAGGGGGTGGCACCTCCATATTTCTATCAAAGAAAAAGAAAGTGAGTCACTTGAAGAAAGTATGATAAAGCAAGCTGGCTGTATTCTTCTGTACTGAAACAGCAAGACAGGTATGCTAAGAAGAAAGAAAAATTCTTTCTGGGAAGCAGACACCACGAGCCATGAACAGACCCATCAGTCTCAACCCCTGACATTCTAAGGGCTCCTTCTAGTTCTTCTTTCATATAAACAAGAGGTACTGGAGGTGTAGGTCAGTTGCTAAGAGTGCTTGTCTGGCATACACAAAGCCATGAATTTGATCCTTATTACTGTGTAAAACCTAGCATGATGGTTCACACCACCCAGCCTTTGAGAGGTGGAGGGAGGAGGATCAGGAGTTCAAAGGCACCCTTGGTGACATAGAAAGTGCAAAACTCTCCTGGGCCATGTGAAACTATCACACACACACAAAGGTGGGGAAGAGGACAGAATATCTAAAAAGGAAGTGTTTTGTCACCTTGCATGAAGAAGCAAAGAATCTCCCCTAGCCAGCACTAGAAGTCACACCAGCCTTGTGACTTGCTAGAAACTGGGCCATAACATAGCCAGCAGTCAGTAGACAAATCCACCTGGAAGCTCTAGATTTCCCCACAGCCTTGTCCCTCGTCAGATATCACTTTCCAAGTAACAAATGCCAACCTCATTAGCTACATCTATTTTACACATTTTGGGAGCCATCAAAGCAGAACTCTCTCAGCAATGCATATTTTATTTGCTCTCTTGCTAATGAGACAGGACTATTTCATTTCCCTCTATGAATGGAACTATTCTGTCTAAGCCCAAACCGGTGCCCCATGGAAACTCTGAGCACTTTTAGTCTCCTGCTGGAGCTCCATTAATTCTCTTATGCCATAGCTTTAGAAGGGCCCTCATGGGACGTTTTCACATTTAGTTGATACAGTCTGAGCCTTGCCTCAAATCAAGAGACTTTTCCACTGACTTTTAGCAACCACAGGAGAGTTCATCAGCTCTGTGACCCTTTTTAATGACGTCAAGTCCTGCAGGCTGGAAATAAAGCCCACTGCTTCTTACCTACTTCCTTGGGGGTATTACATACCTTTCCACTGGGGCTTTTTTTGTTAGCAGGGTATATAAAGATCCCTCCATATACCAGAGTGCGGTGAACATCAGCCACCATGGACCCCACATACCGGGCACCATAGGGAGCTGAATTATCCTACAACGTTAAGAACAGCAAAAAATTAGGGTTGTGGAAGATAAAAGGTGTTCCCTTGATGTCCCAGATACTTATTCTGTTCCACAGTCATTTACCAAGTATCTTATAAAATGCTCGCTTAGAGCTAAGCTAAGACATGAAAGGAAAATCCCATTCCAGAGAAGGAAAGCTTTGGAGACATGGCCTTCTGTATATCTCCCAGCAGGTCACATTCTGGCAATAGCCCCAAGGAGAGTGTGGTTGGTTCCAGCTGTGGGGTTGGCACAGGCAATATGAAATTTTAACCTGGAGATAGACAAGAATTTTGTCAAGCTAAAGAACGGGGCAGGTACAGTTATCTGCTCTGTGGAAGAAGAGCGTGAACAAGCAAGGGCCTAACAGCATAGAGGTAGTGCTGTTGCCACAGGGCCTGCTGGCACGCATGTGTGCAGGGGTTGTGCTTGGGAAAGGAGAGAAAACCATGCTACAGAGAAATCCTGAGGCCTGCTCTGAGGAGCCTGGATGCCATGTGGGATTCATCCTCAGAAAAGAACAGCAATGATAAGGCAAAATCAGGCACCTCTATGGAGCCTCTGGCCAATGAGCTAGTTATCATCTTCATATTCACCAACTAGTAACCTCTGCAGTGAGATACTAAAGTGACACTGTCCAGTGTGTGTGTGTGTGTATGTGTGTGTGGTGTGCATGCAGGTATGTATGCATGTTTGCATGTGCATGGGTTTGTGGGAATGTGTATACATGTGGAAGCCAAAGGTTGATGTCTGGTGTCTTCCTCCATCACTCTCCACCTTAGAGACTGAGACAGGGTTTTCACATAACCCCAGGTGGACTTCGTTTACTGCTTGCTCAGGAGATCCCATCTCTGCCTCCCACACTGATATTACAGCAGGCCTCCTGTAAGCTGATCCTGGCAGACCAATCTCTTGTCCCCAAACTTGCACCAAGCAGTTTACCCACTGAGCCATCTCCCCTGCCTGACACTGACCATCTTGATACAACAGACAGAAACCCATCAAGGCATAGACCTGAAAGGACAGATCTCAAGTAGTAGGTGCTTGAATGACAGGAGGCCCAGAAAGAGGACTGTTTTGTTGTTGTAAAGGAGATAATAAGTAAAGCTATTTGACTTTATTGCCCAGATATTGTTATGCTGGGAGATAAAAACTGAATAACATTGATTTTGATGTCTCTGTGAAAGCACCCCACCCCTAGCCCCTAGGCTCAATGGTTCACCTCTCTCTCCTTTCATCTCCAGGATAATTCACATCAGTGGATTTTTCTCATAAAGCAAGAGTGAGTCCCAGATGAAGTCTAGGCCCTTCTCAATGATAAGTGTCCCTTTTTCTCTCAAGAACACTCTGCCCAAAGCTAACACCATAGCAGTCCCACCCCCTACTCACTCACTGGAGGAAACTTTTTCCTCTGGATATACTCAGTGATGGCAGGGTCAAAGTCCTTGGCATAGCCCTCATTAATGCTGTAGATGTTACCTTTCTTCTTAATCTTCACATCTCTGTTCACCAGGATGAATTCTCCAATGGCCTTTGAAATAAGGAAGAAAGGTATACAGGTGATCAGAAAGCTCCCTGAGGCATGAGCAAAGCATGCCTGCGACCACACCTTATCTGTGTGCACGCTCACTACAAAGGTCCAGTGGCAATAAGAATGGTAGGAGTAAGAGAGTCCAATGTCAACAGAGTGATATAGAGTTAAAGTGTGCAAAACAAAACAAGAAATAAAACTTACAAGGCCAGATATGGGAGAGCACAATTGTAATCCAATACTATAGAGGTTGAGGCAGGAGAGTTGGGACCTTAAGTCAACCGGGGCCTCTGCCTCCAATATCATAGACGGTAGATGGACTCATGAGACCCCACCCTTCATGAAAGACCACTGTCAGTTAATGTTCCTAGGAAGAAGGCCATTTTTTCATTGTCATAGTCATTGGTGGGTTGCTCATGCCTCCATAAACAGTCCCTGCCCATGCCTATTTAAACTCAGTCCCAGACACACACACACACACACGGAAATATGCAAGTAATAGAGGACTGGCTAGGAAGAAACGTTTCAATGGAAGAGAGTAAAGAGAAAGAACTTAGATGATGAAACTAACCAAAATCCATTATATACATGTGTGAAGTTGTCAAAAATGAAAAAAAAAAAACATTAAGACACAGGGATAAAGTGTGTAAAATAGAACACCAAGAGAATGCTAACAATAATTAAATAAATGTGAGAATAAGACTCCTTCCTGAAGATACAGAGGGATGGTGAGGATATGCAGGGAAGGGAAGGAGAAGGAATTGCCCAAAGCCCCATGATGCATCACTGGGAGTGAGTTTCTCTTTTTCACTTTAGTGCTTTTTGGTTTCTATTTCTAAAAACTGGGGCCATAAACTTATAGGAATGTTTTTGTATAGTCAGGAAGACAAAATAAGTATCTCCACCTGAAACATCTGGAAAAGAGTATCTCACAGCAGGCAGCTCTCACAGCAGGCAGCTAGAGCTGCCTGCAGAGCTCAGGCAGCCATGCTCACTAGGCAGCCGTCTTGGTACCCAGTCTGAG